AGCAACATTCCAACGCGTCCCAGTCCCTGTGCGACATCATCCGCCTGAGCCGGGAGCAGGTGATCCAAGTCCAGGACAGCTCGGAGCCCGACCAGCTGTTGGCCACCCTGGAGAAGTAGGTTTGCGGGCAGTGCCCTGGCCCAGGGAGGGACGCCGGCCCGGGAACCTGGGTCCCAGCCCTTGACCCTGACCCCTCTGCCCCAGGCAGGAGACGATCGAGCAGCTCCTGAGCAACATGCTGGAGGGGCAGCTGAACCCGTCCGTGCTCGTCAGCGGGGTCCAGGTGCTGCTGACTCTGCTGGAGCCCAGGCGGCCACGGTGGGTGCCTCCCCGCTCTGCGGCTCCTGGAGGGCATGGCCCCTTTCAGGGGTCACTGTGGTCCTAGAGAGTCCTGTTCCCGCCTGACAGCCGAGGAAACAGGCCGAGTCAACTGGCCACAGCTTCCAGCTGGCGTCCCCACCCAGGGCCCCTCGGCGTCACTGTCCAACACACAGTGGGGCTTCTACCCGAGGGACCCAGGCCCCTGGGTGCCTCCCGCAGGCCCGCCCTCATGTCCTGGCAGGGAGCAGCCTCAAGCTCCTCTCTAGGCGTGTTCTGCACATGCATGTGCATGCGCACAGGCTGTCTGGGCCGCTCACTGCCCTCACCCTGCCCTGCTGCAGGTCCGAGTCTGTGATCGTGAACAACTTCTTCAGCAGTGTGGACGGGCAGCTGGAGCTGCTGGGCCAGGCGACCCTGGACAGCTCCGTGTCCAGCATGGGCGCCCTGCACGCCCTGCGCCCTCGGCTCACCCACTTCCACCAGCTCCTGTTCGAGCCACTGGAGGTGGGCTGGGCAGACCTGGAGGGTGGCAGGGAAGGTTGCTCCTTGGCCCTGGGCAGCAGGGGGCCAGGAATTGAACCTCCGCTATGTCTGCAGCTGGAGCCACTGCACACGACGTGGGGCATCCTGGCCCCGCCTCTGGGCAACACACGGCTGCACGTGGTCAAGCTGCTGGCCAGCGCCCTGAGCGCCAACGACGCCGCCCTGACCCGGGAGCTCCTGGCACTGGACGTGCCCAACACCATGCTGGTGCGGGGGCAGGGCAGTGGGCGCGGGGTGGGGCGGGGGGGGCCTCTGGGATCTCCATGCCAGCCTGCACCCCCCCCAGGACCTCTTCTTCCACTACGTGTTCAACAACTTCCTGCACACGCAAGTGGAGGCGTGTGTGAGCGCCATGCTGAGCGCCGGGCCCCCTGCTGACAGCAGCCTCGAGACACCCGCCCCCAACCTCGGCGTGAAACACGTGAGCTGGGGCGTGCAGGTCCCCTCCCCCTCCACAGGCTGGGCTCTGCCCGTGTCTGCCCCTCGCCTGCCTGGAGCCAGTGCTTGGTGTGACTTCACGTCCCGGGGCTGGGGCCTCGGACGTGTCTTTAGGTCAGGTCTGGGGAAAAGTGGGTGATGCGGGGAGCTCAGGAGGTGGGGTGTCCTGGGAAGGACTCCCCGGGGTGACGGCTGCCCAGCCCTGGGTGTAGCGCAGCCCCAGGGGGGAGCAGTTCAGTGGGAGCTGGGATTTGTCTAGTTCAGCGGTTCTCAACCTGTGGGTCGCGACCCCTTTGGGGGTCGAACGACCCTTTCACAGGGTCGCCTAAGAACATCCTGCATATCAGATATTTACATGACGATTCATCACAGTAGCAACATGACAGTGATGAAGTAGCAACGAAAATAATTTTATGGTTTGGTCACAACATGAGGAACTGTATTTAAAGGACCAGAAGGTTGAGAACCACTGGTCTAGATGGAGTGGGGTGTGGACAGGCCGATGATGTTGTGGGGGAGCAGCGTGGGCAGCAGGCGGGGCAGGTGCGTGCGCGGGCTGATCGGATGGTGCGGGCTCTTCTGGAGGGAGCGGGGGCTCAGCTCCTGGGTGCCGTGGGGAGGCCCTCAGCCCCTGGCTGGTCCCCCCACAGCTGATGCAGCAGTGCCGCCTGGTGGAACGCATCCTGACGTCCTGGGAGGAGAACGAGTGCGTGCAGTCCGCAGGCGGCCCATGGAAAGGCTACATGGGCCACCTGACGAGAATGGCCAACGCCCTGGTGCAGAACACGGAGAAGGAGCCCAATGCCGAGCAGCTGGGGCAGCTGCTGAAGGAGATGTCGGCTGAGCAGCAGGAGCAGTGGGAGGCCTTCATGTCAGGACCCCTGGCCGAGACCAACAAGAAGAACATGGTGGACCTGGTGAGGCCCCCGCTTCCCGCTTCCGCAGCATCCGCTCCCTCGTCCCCCAGACACAGGCCCTCACCCGCCCCCTCCTGCCCCAGGTGAACACCCACCACCTGCATTCCTCCAGTGACGACGAGGACGACCGGCTCAAGGAGTTCAACTTTCCCGAGGAGGCCGTGCTGCAGCAGGTGGGCTGGGGCTCTGGGGGCTGGCGCGCCCACCCTGACCG